TAAAATACAGGGGGGAAAAAAAGGTCCTCAACAGTCTCAGCAGGGTCCCATGCATTTCAGGGACCTTCAGACCCTCATGAAACTCTTACTAAATTCACTAGGTGAATCTTCTGCACACTAAAACTTGAGAAACACTGTTCAAACAAAAGGATTAGATCCTAAAATAAAATAGGGAAGTATTAATAAGAAAGAGAAATGGACATTCGATCTGGGGCCTCCTGGATGCCAGGGCCTCTTGGGTCCAGAGCTCCCCTGGGCTAGTATCTCAGGTCAAGGGGGCCTTCTAAATGCAAGGAACTGCAGATGGTAGTCATCTACCAATGCCCAAGAGTTCCTGCCCACTGCTGTGATTCAGGCTTCTGCTCCACAGGAGATGAGAGAAACACTGAGCTCAACTTACAGCACTTTTTCCATGCATGATGTGAAGAAATCACATCTGTACTTGGATCTCAGTTTCCCTGACTGTAAAATGAGGTGATTTGACAAGATTATCTTTAAGACTAATCTAACCTTCTAAAAATTACTGTGGATAATATCTAGAATGTATTCCAAAAATCAAAAAAGAAAAAAAAATCCCAAGAGAAAACTGGTGAAGACTATGAACAATTTATAGGGGGAAAAAAAATAAAGCAGATGAAAAGGCACCCGTTAATAATCAGAGAAGAAATCCAAATTAAAACAAAATATATCAATGTGGTCATCTCAAATCAGCAGAACTGTGAAACCTGGATGGTTCCAGGTACTGACAAGAACACTCTTCTACACACAGTACCTTCACATGCCCTACACACACACACACACACACACACACACACACACACACACACACCCTGCTCCTAAACACTTAAACAGTCATCAGAAGTAATAACTAACCTGTGCAGCAGCCTGAAAGGTGAATCCTGTCACCCTACTGCATTTTCAATGCTAGGGCAGAAATTCCCTGCCATCTCAAAGGCCTGGAACAAAGCCTACCTCAGAAGAAGCACTGTTTTCATACACCTTTAAACACCCTAAATGAATGTGTAGGTGGGAAAGAGGAATGGTGGGAGAGAACTGAAGGGAAAGGGGCTCAGCTGCAATAGAGGCCTTGACTTTCCTGTCACTGGTTCAGGCTGGGGAGGTGGTGCCTAGAGATTCTGGCAGCCTGAGGAAGAGGTACAGAGCTCTGAAACAGGTAGACATCTTTATTTAGCTGCTCCACAGCTCAGCTCAGCCTCGCCACTGCCACCTTATCATCTCTGCAAACATAAGTTCATAAAGCCCTGGCTGAGGGGCGCGCCCTCTGCCCTAGCCACGTGGTAGCAGCCTCTGTGCTATCAAGGTCATGACAGGGTTGAGGAAGCCTCCTGGGTGACTTCTTGTGCACACTCCGCTGTCCTGAGGCTTCCTCAGACATGGTCCACTGGGAAGGAGAGGCCAAGCTCCACACGGCACCTGATCCTTGTGAGCTTACGCTCATCACGCTGGGAAGATATTCCTGTCCCACTGCACAAATAAGAGAAGCAAGACTTGAAAAAATCTACGGGTGCCCTCTTTAATCTGGCTAGTACTGATGGAGCTGAGACTTTTAAAAAATATTAGTTAAACTTATTGGTACATCTTAGGTATACATCATGATCACATTCATCATAGGGAATTTGTGCTGTACATGACATATCATGATTCCTTTTTCTTTCTCCATTATGCTAACCCTTCCTTCAACCCCTCTTTTCTTCCATATTTACAAATGCTTTGTTTCCATTTTCTCCTTATTTTCTCAGGGTTTTTCCTTTTCCATTCCTTTAGTTTTCCCTAAATAAATAAAAAATTTAAAAAAAATTTTAACAAGGCCAGCCAAATAGCTCAGCAGATTAAAGCGGCTACAAGCAGGCACAGGGGTCAGAGGTGTGATGCCCAGGCCTGCCAAGCCAGCCCCGGCTCTGGGGTGTGTTGAGATGGCAATTGAGACTGGGTATGGTGGTGCACACCTGTAATCCCAGTTCTTGGGAGGCTCTAAACAGGAGGATCACTATGAGTCCTATCTAATAGCGAGACCCTGAATACCCTGTAGACCCTTCCCTAAAATTAAAAAAAAAAAAAAAAA